CAATTAAGATTGTGCACGCGATAACGTATAAGTACGCGCGGAGCACCGAGCAAGATGCATTTTGAGCCACGCACAGACAGATAGCTCGTCGCAACCCCGACCTCATTTGAATTTTTCACCATCAAACACACACAACTGCCCCAACAGCAATTTCGTTTGCCCCGCTGACTTTGTGAAGAGATTATTTAACAGCCGCTCGACTCATTAGTTAATACTTGGCAAAAACAACTTTCAATTTCTTTTTCTATTCATGTGTCGTTTATTTAATCTCCGTGATTTACTTGCAAATTTTCTTGATTATGAAATTTAAAATATGTGAATTTATTTCAATGGATGTTTATGTTAAATAACTATATCAAAAAACCTCATAGTTCAAATTAGTGAAATATTTCAATTCATGTTTAATTATTAATCAAGACTTTTCAATCTAAACAATTTTCTTCACCAAAAAAATTAACTAAAGTTGAGTAAATTTTTAAAATTTGCCGTCAAAAACGGTAATGGTTAATCTTTTGTCCTTTTTTTATGGTGTACAAAAACATACTTCACACTGATTAATGATTATAGAGCGTTTTAACTCAAAGCGTGCTGCTACGGCTCAAGAGGGACCGGCTGAGTCACTTGAATTGGCTCGCGGCTCTCCATCGACCCGGCAGCACTCTTGTGCTCTTAAACTGCTCGCACGTGTAAAGTCGATGAACTTTTGCAATTTTTGGAAGGAGAGTTTACTTTGTAACCGCGCGCGAATGGGCCGCGACTCTGCAAATGTCACACGTTTTACGCTCGTACACGTTTGCCCCATTCATTCTCGGCGCTGCCGGAAGCAGAGTGCAAAAATTTTGCCGCGTGTTTTGCACACTTTTTGTTGTTTGCCGCGTGTGGGCGAAAAACTCACCGTCAGGTTTTTGCAACGCGTGGGAGCTGAATTTTCATCGGAGGGTTTTATTTTTTTACTACCAATTAATCCCCTTTCCTTATGGAATGAAAATAAACAACGGATCTAAAGGTAGTGCAAATTTTGATATAAATACTTTCAAAGCCGATGAAATGCAATAAATTAGTTTTACAAAGTTTTATGTTAAATATATTTTATTAATTATTTAAAATTAATTTATTGTTTATTATAAGTTATTTTATTTATCTTAATATCATTACTATTATTTGTATTTTTAGATATAATTATATAATAGCTCATGCTTATTCAGTTGTACACTGACAAATGTATCATTTAAAAATAAATAAATATGATCATTGATAGAAATTTTAAAATTAAATATTCTCATGTCTCTCGTTCTAGGTATAGTTAAATTGAAAAAATTATTAACTCAAAAATTCTTGCATTCTCTTCTGAAAAGAAGGAAAGATGAAAATTAACATTTGAACATTAAATATATGATATGACTTTGCAGGTGCAACCATAATTAAGAACATCTCGGAAAATCTTGTGTTTTGACAACACTGAAAATGATTTAAATATCCTTGAGAGTTGCAATACTGATCATGAAAAATAAATGAAAAATTTTATGACGCTCCTGCAATGAGAAATGATGTATGGAAAGAAATAACCCTTTGTTTGATAACTCCTGAATTTTGTCGCTACGCCATGGTTTTCACAACTGCAGATTTGAAGCAAAAGTTCCGGGCGACAATGGTGCTTCTGATGAAATTGATTCATGCGTGTGCTTGCAGTGCGGCGAGAAATGCACCCAATCATCATCTGACCGAGTGCATAATTCGCGTCCTTTGTATTAATATATGATTATTGAAAAATGATTAAAAAAGGATTTTGATTTCATTGAGTTGAAGTTGGATTCAAATGAATTTTGAATGAAAGCAATTTATATTTTATACATTTTCATATATTTTTGCAGTTTAGTGTACAAATTATTTTCAGCGACTTTATTTTGAAAAATTATATAAAAATCTTTAGCTTCTGTATTTCATTTCAAGAACATTTAGAAGAATTCTTGCAATTTAATTAAGAATTCTGACTTTTTGTAAAAATATTGCATGATGATTTCAGATATTTTATTCAATTTTTTACCTATAAATTTTCTTAATTGTATGTATTTAATGTTTTGTACTAAAGAACAATATAAATTATGCAGGAACACCTGAAAACTATCAATAATTAAAAAAAATTAAACATTAATATATAAATAAAAACAAATGAGTTCAAAGCAATAAACAGCCAATCCAATGCGTGAGCAAAGAAGATACCAGAAAACACTGCGCAACTTTGAAATTATTGAGATGGGAACTGACCACGAATGATATAAGCCGGGTAAAAAGCCAACAAAAACCTGCACATTCTCACATGTTGTGGATTTACGGCCCCTTTTATATTCAGAGCAGGGGCACGGTATAATTTCTTAACCAGTCCGACCACCGCTTAATAGTCGCCGCACAGGGGTTGAATTATGTTCCATTGTGTCAATTATTCATGCACAATAGCCACGGCTCTCTCAATGCAATCGCTGTGGGCCACACAAACACTTACATCACGCATTTCCCAGCGCTGATGATAATGAACGCACTCACGCAGCTCAAAAAGCGTTTCCCTGTAAAAAAAAATACTCGGCAGACAAAAAGGAGGTAGGACATTTTTTGCTCCTTTCCCAAATTTAATTTTGTATTATGCAAATAATCGTCCTCGGATGTATTTAAAGAATGCAAAGCAGGTAAAAATGATTCTGTGTATACATTTTTTGCCAAAGGTGCAACGGTTTCTTTACGCGCGAGCAACTTTCCTTATTCTTTCAACTAGAAAAAGAGGATTTTGATGCGTGTATGTTGTGGTTTAAGCAGGTAATAATAATATGTAATTACTAATGAGGTGATTTATTTTTACGACCCTCCGCGCGCATAATTTAAATTTACACAGAATATGTGTAGAGAGAATTCTCGATCCTCTCTAGGCCTTTCGAACTGACAGAAAGGGGCACGGAAATTAAGCGTGAGGAGCGCGTTTATAGTGCTATGGATGGCAGTGTACTAAAATTTTATGACCGCTTTTTAGATTATCTCTCACAGCAGGCGCAGGTAGGCTGAGAAAATCTGAATGTAAATAATGCATCTCATCACTGCTGATTGATCCGTCGAGAAAAATCACAACGGAAATAAAATAAAGGCGACTCTTTTAATATAAAATACACAAGTTTTGTTTCGTTTTCATTGACGAAGATTTGGTTTTTGGAAATCAATTGAATTTTTAAACTTATATCAAAGGATTGATTTCCTCATATTCATATTACTGTCAATTTGCAGAAGCATATAAATCGAATTTTTTTTACTGTAACTAACACCCTAATTTCATAAATAATTATTAAGAGCAAAAATTAGCGCGGTTCTGGTCACAACAATATAAGCTGCACGTGGCACAGGTAAAAATATAATCGATAAATGGCCTTCGTTTAAATTTGCAAGCAATTATAAAAGACAATTTTTCATTTGAAGCTAACCTTCATGTTCAAGAAGCAAAAGCGTTTTTTAAAGACTACACATGACTCATACGAAAAGTGAAACCCTGCATCCATTATGAGACCATTTGAATAGAACAATTTTTAAATGACAGGTGTCGAAGAGAAGAGAAATAAGTGATTCTTCGTGAACAAAACGTCCACAAAAAAGGTGGCAGTTTAATTTTTTGCACAAAGCTAAGATAATTTGTGGATTCTCCGCACGATTTGAATGAGTAACTAATAATAATCGGAAGGATTTGTAAACTGTATGAATCTATACATCCCTGCCATTAGGAGCAAAATTTCGAAAAAATCAATCATGCGTAGGGCTTTCAGCTGTAAATTGATTTGATTGCAATTAAAGTTTTTTGGTGTACCACAAGGCAATTCCTGCCTATAAAGAGTACATTAAAAAATTACATAATTGAAATTAAAAGAAATATGTTCATAAATAATTCTTGATGTGACAATAATGTATGGAGCGAAGATTAACTTTTTAAATTATGTTCATAATACATCAAAAATGCCGAGTTTGAGATAATTTATTACTAAAATGAGCTAAAAAGTTTCAAATGTATTGTGTAACTTGTTGTTTTAAGAAAACAATGTTAAATAAATGTCGCTAATAATAAATAATAACAAAAATAAAATAAATCCGCAATATCAGTAAATATTAAAATAATTAAATATAATTTGTTTGTATAAATGATTTACATAGTAAATGATTTAAATTTTTTTGCATTGTATGTGCAATTTTACTAGTTTTAAACAATTCAAATAAACTTACATTAACCTAAACGAAATTAATTTTCAGAGCCTTTTTGAACCTGTATCTAATTGTAAGACGTCCGATCGGAATTCATAAAAATCGCAGGGTGCTCCAACTTCTGAAGATATCGGACGCTTTAATTGTAATCAAAAGAAGAAAATCAGTAATATATCCTCAAAGTCAAGCACAATGCATTGATGAAAAAAAATCCAATTTTTTTATTTTGGTACAAGATAATTTAACATATTCGAAAACTGTCAATTTGATAAATCGATCGAGTGATTTACTTAAAACTTCTCAAAGGAAATTTACATATAATTCGGCCAAAACTCAGTCTTTTGCGAATACATATATGGACCAAAGCTACGTCACGTCGGTGACGATTGGCGAAATTGGGAGTGTTTTGCACCGAAGAGACCCACAAGAGACGGTGACGCACTCGGTGCCCATTGTCGGCGCAGCGGGCCGGCCGAAGGAAAGAAAGGCAAGCGAGATTCACGACTGACGTTCGGACAGGTGAGGTGACAAAACGTAATTGACACTACTTTCATCACAACATTAGGTGACCACGTGCGAAGTTTCAGTGATTTTCGCTCCGCCTCGCTCGCGCCCCGCCTCCCCTTGGGCCGGCGGCAAAGATGCGAGTACGCGCCGGTGAACGGCTGCACGCAGAGAGAATATATACAAAATAAGTCGCCGCATCTTGCTTTACGAACGAGTGCGCCAGCGAGAGAGAGAAAGAGCGCTTAATCCCCTCTTACACAGGTAACACCCCCACATTACACGATACGCGCCTATATAAGCTCAATGAGTTGATTTTCGCGTCGGAATATTGTTCGCACGTCCGTCCACCGTCGATTAATTGAATCAGCGGCACAAAGAGAGAGAGAGAATTAAAAAGCCGCCTGAAAATTCCCCGCTCTCTCTCTCTCTCCAACCATCTCTCTCTCTTTCTCTCTCTCTCTCTCTCTGGCAGCTCGCGGCTCAGTCAGTCACTCACATAATACCTGTGCAGTTAGTTAGTCCAACCCTTACACTCAGCCAGCTCACTCGCCGGCTTTGTGTGCTGCCACAAAAAAAAATCGTATTAACTCACACACACATACACACCGGCCGCGCGAGCCCCTCTGCCGTACTGTATAGTTGGGAAGAACATCGCGAGAGCGGGCAGCAGCACCTATAGCAGTCACCGTCGTCGCCGTCGTTTCCCCGCTGAAGCCGCCAGCGAGCCGTCCGGCCGGCATAAAAGCGCCACCAGCCCGCCAGTACAAAACATCCATCAAGTGTGTGTGGTGAGTGCGAGAGAGAGTGCAGCCGCGGCAAGGGCAAGCAGCAGCAGCAGCAACCGGAGGAGAGATGATGGCCGCACCTGCAGCGGTGGCCGCCGCGCTGGCCCTGCTCGTGGCCCTGCTGGCGCCCACCCTGCACGGCGCCCGCTCGTACGACGCGGCGCCGCCGTCGACGCAGCGCCGACTCGACGCCGAGCAGCTGTTCAAGCGGCCGGCGCTGAAGCGCGAGGAGGTGGCCGGCGGCTCGTCGACGCCGTACAAAGACCTGGACGCGGCGGCGCCGGCCAACCTCCAGCAGCACTCGGACGAGGACGGCGCCGTCGACGACGACCTCAGCGTCGGCGGCGACCTGCACCGCTTCACCACCGGGCACACGGTGCTCCGCGAGCCGCCGGCGCCGGGCTCGTACGTGCCCTCCAACTGCTCGGCCTGCGTGTCCCACGACGAGATGCGCCGCATCAGCAAGCAGAAGATCCAGGAGGACATTCTGCAGAAGCTCAACATGCGGCACGCGCCCAACATGACCGGCAGGGCCAAGCCCAAGCTGCCGCCCCTCGAGCGGCTCATCGAGAACTTCGGCATGCAGGGCGACCAGCCCGACAGGTTCCAGCTCGGCGAGTCCATCCACGAGGAGGAGGACCTGCACGCCAAGATCCCCATGGTCTTCGTCGTCGCGCAGACAAGTGAGTACCATCAATTTTCCTCCCCATTGCGACATGTTGCCCAACGCACAGAGGTTATCGCGAGTGCAACAATCAGATCACATTGTTGTTTCGTTTCATTACTCTCCGAATGACCCGTGCAACCATCAGTAATTCTAACTCAATTTGCGCCAGCATAACTTCACTAGAATCGTGGTTGAAAATTGAATCATCACTTTGAAATTAAAGAATTGTAAGTCGTGGTTTTAATTTTTGCATTATTTCTAATTTCCGATTATTTAAATTCTTTTTTTCAAAATTAATAGCTAAATTTTCAATATGCTAAATTTTAAGCCACAACTATTACATATAAATAATAAATTATTATTAATGTGCATGCATTAAATTGAGTTTTAAATTAAAATTCGGAGAAATAGAAAAATATCAAATTTACTTTGTTAAAACAAAAAATTAAAAAATAGTAAAAATATTTAATAAAAATTTAAGTGTCATGTAAAACAGGTTAATTTAAATCTACATAAAATGCTTATTTTTTAAATTAAATATCATGTTTTTGTAATTAATGTACTTTGTGCAAAATGTAATATTAATAAGTTAAAAACTTTCAAAAAATGTTTCATTAAAGATCATTATAAATAATTACGAAAATTGAATTATAAGTAACCTGTATCCATTTTTAATTTATATTCAAATTTGAGTTTCAATCGAATTGACTAGGGTAAAAAAAATCGCCTTCACATTTCGATTTGCATGTTTTAATTAAAATTACTGGCAATTTAGCCGCAGCAATTTAAAAATACTTTTTAGTTTTTTGGGTTTTTTTAAGCGGATGAGCCTATAATTTAATTCAAATTTATTGTTGTTCTGTTAGACAAGAATATTAACAGTAGTCTTAAGAACATGGCAGATCTCAAATTAAAATTTAGAGAAAAAAAACCCGTTGCTCAAATAAAGAGTACTTTATTATTGATAAATTATTCAAATTTGGAAGTTCTTTTTTATTAATTTATAGTAATTTCAAGCCAATAATTACGTTTCATTTGAATTAGCAAATAATTTATATAAAATACTTAATTATATTCAAACATCTCGTATTATTAAGTAGCAGATAAGCTGCTTAACAAAGATGCCGTATGTGTGCGATTCATTTGCGTTTTCCATTACATTTTTTGCTAAGCCTCCTCTCTCTGGGGTAACAAAAAACGAATTAGCATGATTTCATTTTTCTCATCGGCACCACAATGCCAGCTGCCGCACACAACTATTAAACGTCCTGCGAGAGCGAGAGATTTGTCGGCGGCCGTGCAGGCACCCCGTGGTCACATTCACGAAAAGGGTTGTGCAGGAACGTTAAAATGTTAATTTGATACGAGAGTAGCACCTTGAAGGATGCTGCGCGCTATAAAATTCCTCCTCCCCCTGCACACATCTCACACGCGTTATGCGGCATAACAATTTATCCTTTGTGAGATTTGTACCCTGAAGTCATGCATATCTGGCCGCGCATGCATATTACCCGAAGAGTTGCCTAGCAACAGTTTCTCGTAAGAAAAAGACGCCGGCCGCTTTTAATTTTACTCTCTTGCCGATCAGCTGCGATGCTGATTTGGAAAAATAATAAGCGAACCTCTTCAAAGAGGTTTAATCTTAATCAAAAATTTAGAATTTGGTATAAAATCTAAAATTAAAACAAATTTCATGAACATGGAAAACTCAATTCTGCATTATTTAAACAAATATTTGTTTTTAACAAACAAAAAAATTCAAATGGATATTTGAAAATAACTTTTTTATAGATCTTACTTAAATATCATTAAAATTATGGTATAATAGTAGAAATTTTTATTGAATCTGTTTGATTGAAATATTTATTTGCCAATTCAAAAGCATTTTATGCAAATCATTTTATTTTGTGTTCAAATTACTCAGTCATTATAGAAACAGAAATTTCCCGTTTCATTTTGATCATATTTTTATTTTTAATGAGAGAACGTAGAGCATAAAATAAAGTAATTTTTCACACGCGAAAAAGAAACTCAAGAAGGCCAGCAGGTAAAAATCGATACGTTTTTCGAGAAACAATTTCTCGCTCGCCGATCGCGGCACTTTTGCAGGTGAAAGCCGAGTGCCGCGCGGGGACTCACGCCACGGTATGGTGCGGGGGTGGATGTGCGGGGCGAGATTATTGCACAAGGGCGCGGGGCGGTTTAGAAGGGTAAACAAACTAACTGCTATTTCCATTTGTATATTTATGAGTGAGAGCGGGATTTTGCATACACGGTAAACGCCGCGGCCGAGGGGGTCGCGGGCGCAGGCAATTTATCCGTTCTAAAAAAGTCTAATAAGCAATTGTAAGGATTCGGGCCGAGTACATACCGTCTGGCGAGTATGATCAGCCGCCGCTCGCAGACATTATCACCCATTTCGCTTGCGCTCCAGCCCATTTTTATACTCACACGGCGACCTTTTCGACACACTCGAAACCGCGTGCAGACGTCGACGTCGATTCCATGCTCTAGAATGGACATAGATTTTCTTTATTAAAGAAGATCAACAGATTTTTTTAAATTAAATCTTAAGTACAATCCAATTTTCCACGAATTTGCAATTTTGTATAAAGAATTTATAATCATTTATTAAAATAAAATAATAATATTATTCTTAATTCTATAAAAAAAAAAAACAGTTCATGTCCCGATGAAGATTTACATTGATATGATTTAATGAATGCTCATGAAATACGCCAAAATTTATATATTTATATTTTTAAATATTTTAATGTTAAATTATGGTGCCGGTTTGTTATCATCATTAAATTGTGACTTAAAAGTTTTAAATCGATTTCATTTATCTATTAAAATTTAAATTAATAAGAAAATAAATAAATAAAAAAAAAAATTATGATTGTGTTCAATCGAGTTAGTATAAAAAATTAATGAAACTGTTTTATAGATTTAAATTTTTTTTTCTTAAATGGTGGCCATTGACTGAAAATTAAAATTTTGTACAAATTGAAAAAGAAACTTTGTAAAACGACTTAAAATTGTCTGAAACATTAGTTGATCATTGAACGGAAACCATATTATATATTAGGAGGTGAACGAGTGCGCGAATATTCGCATGGGTCTGCCTGCGTTTCGGGGTGAGTGACTGTGTGTGCATGGGTAATTCTTTTATTATTGATTATCTTGAACTTCGATCCCTTTTTGGCTTACTCGGGGTTACACACATGCACACGGGGTTAAATTGCAGGTATAAGGCTTGGTGAACTCGCTCTCTTTCTCTCTCTCTCTCTCTCTCTCTCTCTCTCTCTCTCTCTCTCTCTCTCTCTCTCTCTCTCTCTCTCTCTCTCACTCGCACAACAGCACACATATTCATTCCCTCATTAATAAACGGAGGGTGCAATACACATTCGTGTGAGCGAGCGAGCCAGCCGAACGGGGGGACAAGAGAAAAAAAATTGTCGGTGCGCCCCTGGGGGGAGAATTTGCAATAATAAATATACACACACTCACAAAAAAATATTCAAAAGAGCGGTCCGCTGGCTGCTCACTTTTCACTTTCGAGCTCATTGTCGCGCGCGTTTTTCAAGGGGGGATCAGAATGCGCTTTGAAGTATTTAATAACCAAAGGAGCTTCTGCCCGCGGAGCTTTTAAAAGGCTTAAATGCAAATGATCTATTGGAATTTTCAGCCTTTTAAACACGTAAGGGTTTTAAAAAAATGTGAAAAAATTTCTGTTTTACATTAAAGCAGACTTTCCTTGAGTTAAATTATTAATTTTAATTCAAAGGAGTTAAAATTTGGTGCAAATAAATTTCCCTTGCAACCAATTTTAATCACCGATGCGAATACAAATGAATCACTTAGCGACACAGCAGGTTGTGGAATAGGTTAATAGACACGTTGAGGCCGTGACATTGGCTCTTCACATTGCGTTTGTTATGTAATGTAATCGACGACAAAGAGCTGCATAACGCGCCGAGCACAAGCCACGAGTGAGCGTGTGACAAACAACAAATAAAATGGACAATCGCCGCTAATCAAGAGCTGCATGCGGCACTGATTACTGCTGCAGCCTCGCTTTTGAAACCCACACTGGAGCAGTGACAGATCACTGACTGATTCAGAGCACGCGGAACTCAATTATAGCTCAGCGGAATAATTAGTTTAGTTGCATTGAAGAAGATTTTAATAACTTTATTGCTGAGTTTGTATGCACAAAATTATTATTAAACAGTAATTTAAATCATTTTATAAAAATGCTTTTCAATATTGAATAGCGTTTTACTCACTAGATAAAAAAAAATAGCAAGATCAAATCAAAGAAGTTATTTGAGAATTTAAAACCCAAAGAAACCACTCGAAACGGGAAATAATTAAATTAGTACTTGTGACTAATCGCCCTGACGTGGAATTACGTTCCGAGACAATGAGATAATTGAGACAAAGCCGGTGTAAAAAAGTTAGAAAAATTCCTGTTAATTTAATCAAAGAAGTTAATTCATTTTATTCAATAAAAATTGAATTAATGAACAATCAAAAAGTGCCAAACTTAATCTTTGCAACTTCCGTATTTTAGTAATGAAAATTGATTATCAGAAACTATTACATTTCGATTTCGTTGAAAGAAAATTTTTACTATATTTGCAAAAATTGAAATAATTATAGTATGCTGATTAATTTAAAAATGCAACGTTCAGATTTTCATCTTTTAAATTTTAAATTTATTCTGATTTAAATTAACAATGGAATTATATAAAAAAATAAATTATATTCCTCCAAAAAAAAATGTTGCGGCCCTGAAATGTCATTTAGCCATTTCAGTTTTGAATGTCAATGGGCTTAAAATTTTAATATGCTAAATTCAATGCAATATTTTTAGACCGTGTTTGCCATTCATGCAAAATAAGGCATATTTATTTCTCTAACCCTTTGTCCTCATTAACACACACACAAACGGCCTATCTTGATTTTGCCAACCGAACCATTCATAAAGCTCTCTTTCAAAACTGAAGGTGA